GAATGAAGATATCATCACAAAATGACAAATCTGAGAAAGGTAGTACCTATATTCAGTGTAGTACCTATTATATGTAATATCAAAGCAATCGGACTTGCGGTTTTTAACAGAAGTCAAAAATATCACTTTTTACCAAAAATGACAAAAATATTCACCAAAATTAGAGAATTAAAGATATCATTACAAAATGAACAAATCTGAGAGAGGTCCACATGTAGTACCTATATATGTAGTATCAAAGCAATTGGACTTGCGGTTTTTAACAAGAAGTCGAAAATATCACTTTTTACCAAAAATGGCAAAAATATTCACCAAAATTAGAGAACTGAAGATATCATCACAAAATGAACAAATCTAAGAGAGGTCTACCCAAGGTACATATACACCAAGTATCAAAGCATTCAGGCTTGTAGTTTTCAAGAAGAAGTCGAAAAAGTAAAACATTGACACGGACGACAACGACGGACAATCACTCATATGATAAGCTCCGCTCGACAAAGTCGACAGCGGAGCTAAAAAAGGACATAACTGGATATGATTACGAACAAACTGATGCCAGATAAAATGAGCTGCAAATATCATGCATGATTTCATAACTGATAGAGTTCAGTAGAAACAAGATAACGAAAACAAACATTGACATACAGGGCATTACTGATATTTACAATAAAATCCAAGATTAGCCACATATTTAGTACCATATGACAGATTGCTAGAGTTAAGAACACTTCACATTGTACAATGGTGTGGACTGACCTTTATACAGACTCAATGATATAACCATTAGGTGCTATGGTACATACAGTGACAAGGTAACTAAGGTATAGGTACTACCATGCAGGTCTATCTTGGTAAAGGTCATCATGAACTGCAATGTCAAACTAACTTTTTCGGGAAAAAGTGAACTTCTGTATATTTGGAAATGCTTAAAATTTGTCACACTAAAATATAGCTTGGTGGATTTCAAGTAACCACTCGCGTTGATTAGCAATTACATATGGATAAGTGAGGGGGTACTTGTCATGGGAAAAACAAAAAGGAACTCAGTGATCTTTGACTCGCACACAAACACATTATCTAGATAAGACTCACCTTAATGTTTCCAACAGTTGCTGAGGTTTGACCGCTAAATCAGTGTCAACTGTCGGTTTTGCGACATAACCTTTCTCACTCTTCAGCATATGCTCCAGTAACTGTGTGGTAACAAAACATAATCATAGACAATTACGTTTACACTCATTATTCATTCAAGCTAAATATACATTTGTAAAGCTGGTACACTGTACTTGAATAATTGAAAACAATTTAATTAAAATTGAGTGTGCATCTTTTAAAATATAAAAAAACATGTGTACTTAAGCTGTATTAAAGAAAATCCTAGAACCTCAAAAATCACAACTTTTTTATCGTTTAAAATACAACCCATGTGTACTCAAGCTTAAAACAAATGAGACAATTTTTCAAAAATCATGAAATTTTGTGGCAGTCAACTTGAGTCAATAGTAAGCTTTAGGAAGATTCGTTTCTCACATACGCCCATAAATCATTAAAACATGACAATTCCGAGTGTTTGAAATTTACAGTTGTCATTTTTATCAAAGAAGGACAGGGGTAAATTAATCCGGTTTCACTGGTTTCAAATATCTAAATGATGCTAGTTCATTCTGGACATTCTTTTGTCATGACTTCAAAATTGGTTTCCTGCAGAGTCTCAGTTTACACTGATCACAGTTCAAACGGCATGAATGTATTTGGTATGACCCCCTAACTCTCTCTGAATCAACCAACCATCTCACATTGCTGTTTAGTTTTACTGATTGCCATCCTTGTGGTGTAACGTAACAAATGACAGTGTTTAGTGTACTAAAAGCACGCACACATGTACATTCGATGAAGTGCTTCTAAAGACGCATTCACATAAATCAAGATGTTTCTATTTCGACGTGAAATATACATAGGGATCAGTAGCTGGGCATCTGCTAACAGTAAAATTTTCACAGCCACTTTGGCAATTTGGCAAATAAAAGTACTAGTAGTATCACCAAAGATTACAATATTCTTTAAATTTGTGTAGAAAATTAAAGCGAGGAGAGTCGGCACCTGCGGCAGACAGTCATAGTGTTTCACTGTTTACAAACTAATGTCTACTTATGAGCTTTTGCATGTTTAGCATAAATGTGCTTAGCAAATTCAGACAACAGAATCTTTGTGATGTTACGAGTATAATGATTGACAATTTTCTCAGAATAATTTGTAAATAACAAATTTTCAGAAAATTATACACACCTCTTTAGTTTTCTTGACCAAATGAAAATGAGCTGGGAGTTGAGAATCTTTGCCGTTTGTCTCCGATTTATCATTTTCATCTTGTTTGGAGTAGTACTTGTCAATATCTCCACCCATCTCCAGTATTCCTTCATTGAATTCTGGGCAGTAGCGAAGTGCCTGTATAACACTATTGAGATAACATGTATTACCAAGGTTATACAGACCAGTATATGGTGGCACATATTCCTTGCTCTCTTCTTTATTTTCATCAGTGTTTAGAATTTTACTTTCATCATCAGACCTAGAACTGGATACAAAAGTGAATATAATTAATTGAAAATATACTTTAACATTCACTGACCCCCCCCCGCCAAATACATTATATCCCCAATATTCATTGATCTAAATACACTATGTCAGTAACATTCATTGATATAAATATACATTGTATCAGTAATATTCATTGATATAAATACATTGTCTCATTGACCCATCAAAATACATTGTTATATTCATTGACCAACCTAAATTAAGTTCATGTAACATTCATTGGCCCATATAAACACATTCATTGATCAATTCTCGCACAAATGTTGATAACATTCACTGATCTACATGAATACAGTATGGCAGTAACATTCATTAACCTACCTACACTGTATGTCAATGACATTCATTGATTTACCTAAATACAATAACCCACCTACATGTACACAACACATGTTGACAACATTCATTGATTTACCTAAATACACCAATATATAATATGGCTGTGATGTTCACAATTCCATACAATATGGCAGTACGGTAATATTAATTGACCTACTTCCATAACAACATTCATCTACCCAGCTAAATACATTAATGTCAGTAACATTAATTGACTGACTGACCCACTTACATACATGATGGAGTTAACATTTATTGACCCACTTACATACAATTTTAACAATGGTAACGATTTTAGGTCGATGGCACATGCTCCATACAGGTGTAATGCAAGTACATGTACTTTCTATTCACCTATACCAATGTTAGTTACCGGTACATATGGCAGTTTTAGGTGATTTAGCACACTATAACTAAGTATA